TACATATATATATATATGTATAGAGGGTTAAGGGCAGGACGTTAAGGTATAGGGCTTGAGGGCTCAAGGAGCTTCGGGGCGAAATCTTGGAGCTTCCGGCTTGAGGGCTCTGGGGCTTCGGCTCTGCCGTCCTCAAGGTGTCGGGTTCAGAGGGCCACTTGGAACCCAAAAATTTCAGGCTCGGGGGCGTCCAAGACACGGGCTTGAGGTGTAGGGCAAGGCGCCAAGGCGCTAAAGATCTCAAGGTCTGATGTTCATCGAGTTCTTCGGAAAGCAGCCGAGAGTCGAGGAGGAGAGAGGAAGCCTAAACACAAGCCTAAACGATCCACCAGGGACGCTCTGAAACCCAGCTGCTCACTCAACTCCCAACCTCCGAACACACAACTGCCCTGCAACTCCCGTCCGACCTCCCCAGGGACGCCCTCGTAGTAGGCACCGGGTCCCGGCTCCTCGCAGCTTGGAGGAACCAGGCTTGTTGTGGGAAGTCGCGGGTGGGGCTAAACGGAAGGTCTATGATTCGAGAGTGGCTGGATTTAGGACTAAGGTCCAGAGAGAAGCGGCACCGTCGGTCGAATGTGAATTAAGCTGGCAAGCCTTCGCCTACATATGAGGCCATGGTCCACATAAAACGCCATTGACCGCAGCAGAAAACTTGTATCAGGATGTTTTGCAAATGCACTCGAAGGCTTCAAGCCGAACCTTCAAAAGACAAGGCCAAACTCGTCAACGAAGCGAGCGCTCCTGCCCCTTCTTCGGGTCTGCTATGCCTCGCCGTGCCTCCATGCTACCTCAGCTAAGGGCACCAAGGGCCAAGGCTCCAAAGCAGCCCCGGACTGGGAAGTCGTACCAGGAACCGTTGCACTAAAGAAACGGAAAATGTGGGGCCGATGCCGAAGGCCAGACTCCCGGTGCTGCCGAGGATGGAGACGGTACCGGTTCTCCCACTGGTCTTGCCATCGCTGCCTTGGGGCGCGGTCAGGACATCCCGGATGTGCTCTCTGATCCTTCCGATGATGACGAGACGATGATGATGCTGCTGCTCGTGGCGGAGGTGGCGGTGGTGACGGTGGTGACGTTGCATGTCTGCTTCCGTATTTGTATCCACACCTCGGATACTCTCCTCATCCTTCAGTAGCGCAGTCGCAGTCGCAGTCGCCCAAGCAGCAGCAGCACTAGCTTTAGCACGAGCACTAGCACTAGCACCAGTGCTGGTGGTGGTGGTAGCGGTAGCGGTAGCGGTAGCGGTAGCGGTAGCAGTAGCAGTAGCAGTAGCAGTAGCAGTAGCAGTAGCAGTAGCAGTAGCAGTAGCAGTAGCAGTAGCAGTAGTGTAAGCATGAATTAAATTGAAGCAAAATAAAAAGGAACGGAAATGGAAAGTGTGGTCAAAATAAATTGTGGCTTCTTTGCTTTATTCTCGCTTACATTCGTTACACTTCATTACATTGAAATAAAGCAAAATTAAGAAGCCACAATAGATTTTGGAAGAGGAAATCATTTTTAACCGCTAGAAAGATCTTGGTGAACTAGGATATGATTGTAGGATAGAATGACCTGGAAATAGTGGTATAATCTTACAACTAATATCCTCCTATAAATCTATAATGCATTTCCCAGGTGATAAGATCCTAGATTGTATATCCTAATCAATTTCTGGGTGATTCCGGAGTTCTCGTTTGTCTTTCCTTTGTTCACATTGTAGCAGTAGCAGTAGCAGTATCAGTAGCAGTAGTAGTAGTAGTAGTACTACAGTAGTACAGTAGTAGCAGCAGCAGCAGCAGCAGCAGTAGTGGTAGTAGTAGCAGTAGTAGGAG